GGTTTGATGTTTGTGTCCATCTCGAGGAGGAAAGGGGGTGGGGTTTGGGGTTGGGAAGGCGGGAGGGGTCAAGGGTAAACTATCACAACTGGTCTATACCAAGAGTGTCTTCATCGAGGAAGTGGACAGGACAGGGTCTGTCCTCTTCGAAACAGGAACATTTTTTTGCACCAAAGTCATCATCAAAGCGCAGCTTCTTCTTATTCAAGGTCACTACGGATGGATGATATCAGAACTCAAAAGGATTTTTTTTTCGTTTTGTTTTATTTTTTAGAGAGAAACTGTCTTTTTTTGCATGATTAAGTGTCGTCTTTTTATTGGCTTGTGTGCCCGGTAAAAGCATGACCATTGTGTGAACTCTCACTTACCGGTGTGTTTGGAAAATGTTAAGGAAATTTCTCCATGAAATTTTTTACTTACCTCTTGACATGAACGTTCATTGACATTCATAATCAACTGTTTTACAATGTAGGGTCTGTAACTGTTTGAAGGCTGCCTCGCATGCAGAAATGCAACTTGCAAGTAACCCATCAAACTTCAAACCCAGTTACCATCACTGCATCTTTGTAAAACACCATGGATGTCAATGCCAGTTATCACCTAGCTAGCTAGACATTGCAGTCTTGTAAAATCGCTCTTTATTAAAGCGTTGCTATTTTCAATACGTGTGTTTGAATGCTCGCTCCTTTTTCATACTATGCCAGCAGCATCATGGGAGGTTGTGATTGAAAGTCAAAGTACTGTAATATGTGTTTGGTCTGGTCCATATTGTGTGGTGTTTTTAACGTGTTTGCCCAGTATCGTCTTGTCTGTTGCCATCAACTGGACTTGTTCTTTCCCAATCATCCTCTAAAGCACGGGCTGGTTTCCTGAAACCAGGCTTGGAAGAAGCTTCAACTTTATTTTGCGACAATTTTGGAAGCCCGACAGTGTACAGACGTTGACATGGGGTTTAGAGATCTATGACGCTGTTTTTTAACCCCACTATTTAAGTGTAGGTGGTTAAAATACTTGACAAAATTTAGTATCCCCATATCTGTCCGTCACATCTCTGTACACTTTATTTTTTGCAGGGCATAGTTTAGTTATCAAGAATGAACTGTCCTTAATTTTCCTCACCCCTGCTAAATCAATGTAAGGATTAAAGCATAAAACCTATAAGGGAAACTAGAAGCATCCTCAGATGAGTTTCTCAGAATTAGTAGTTTGAGAAGAGGAGTCTAATAAAAGCAACTAAAACAAGTATGTACTAATAGTCAGTGCACACGATATTCCTACCTGCACTCTTTACAAAAAGGACATAGGTGGTGAACCTAAGTCGAGCACTTATAACAAAGGGTTGCTTGTAGTCTTGTATTTTTTATGAAGTCTACTTTCTCCAGTGTGTGCAGACACTCCGCAAGGATCCCCTAACAAAACAGACCTTTGAATTCATCACTGAAGCTACTTCACGGACTAATCTGGCAGCTGGAAACCAGACTTACATGTTACCAGGGCGGAAACTGCATTTCCGTGTCGTTATGCCGGTGAAAAGCGCATGATGTCTATGCAGTTTCACACTCCACCCGCCGTCCATTTACGCACATAGGCCTAATCATCATATTACCTCAGTATACCCTCAGTATTGTGTATACTGCATTCACTACACCCATTCAGTACTCTAGTGTCCATCTGTAAACTGTTCATTGTTGTTGAGGGCATGAAACTCAGCAGTGTCCATGAAAAAGTCTTGTTAGCAGGGAGTGAGGTTCCATACCTTCAATTTCTTCTCATTTTATTTTGTATATCAAAGTGATTGAATTATCAACAGGTTTGGATTGTTATCAAATTATTGGTTTTTATTTTAAAAGCATAGGTTGATGTTTTTGGAAGAAAATGGAATAAAACGTTATCTGATGCTGAGCTCTTAATAGTTATTTGGTGACTCCTCCACAGACACTTTAATAGTAATAATACATCCATTAAGCAGTGATTCATGATAACGCTGTAAAACTTGCATCGTCAAATATTCACACAGAAGCTATAGTTCAGTTGAAATTCATTTATTGATAATTAAACATTTCAAAGAACATAGGACAAAATGTAATTTAAAACAAAATGATAATATTTGTGTTCATTGTCATTCATACAAGTTGAATGTGGCATCAAAAATCGTCGTTTTAGGGGAGAGGGGGAGTCGAGCGTTGAACCAGCAACCGATCCTGAGCCAGGTTTTTCAACTCTGAAATGAAGGGCCTACCGATGTGCTCTTAAGCAAGGCACTTAACCCCGATTTACAAAAACTAAAACAACCCACCCTACCTAAATGTCCCACGTCCAGCTCTGGCTGTGATTGCCTGGTACTCTTGAATGATGGGCTGTTAGATACGGGATGTACTAACAACAACTGCTTCAGAAAGGGTTCAGATTTAGACTAAAAGAAGTATCCTCCAAATCTTGTGTGTGTGAGCGGTCAGTATGTTGGGAGCAGGAATGTATGAGCAGAGTATACTT